TTCCTGTTTTTGTGAAGAAAAAAAAAAGAAAAAAAGCCTTTTATTTGGCTTCTGAGATGCCACAGAATGAGCAATGGCCAGACCTCTCTTTCTTTCTCCTGATCAAAAGTTGTGAGGATGGCTGAGCAGCAGGCAACTGGTGGGTGGAGAGGCCACGCTCCCCCCACCACAACAGCCCCTGAGCATGCGGCCTCCAAGCAAGCTAGTGTCCAAGATGGCGCCACCTCCCCCTTGGGTCTTTCCTCCTTCGGTGCAGGGCTTTGGGAGAGCAGCCCCAGGAAATCAGAAGGCCAAGGAGTCAACCTGAGGAGTGACCTCTGACCCAGGATAAGCAGTAGATCAACCTGGAAGCTGAGATCCCTTGCCCTGCAAGCAAGCAGCTGGTCCATTGACTGTGTTGCCCCTGGAAGGGACCTTGGTAATGGAATAAATTTTGTAGCTAATATTTAAATTCGAGCCTACTCTCCCCTGGACCTGAGGTGTAGAAGCAAGCATGTGCCCCGGTTCAAGGGACATTTTACTTTGAATCTGACTATAACGTTTCAGTAATTACCGCCTTTGTAAAAGCAAAACTGATACCAATTTCTTGAGTTCTGGGCCTAGAATCAGGAAGATATGAGTTCACATCTGGCCTCAGAAAGGTACTAGCTGCGTAACTTTGGGCAAGTCAGTTTACCTCTGTTTGCCTCAGTTTTCTCATCTGTCAAATGGGGACCATAATAGCATCTACCTCCAAAGGCTGTTGTCAGGACCAAACTGTAAAGTACTTAGCACAGTGCTTGGCACATAGTAGGAGCTGTTCAAATATTAGCCATTATTATTTTTTTTTATTATCGTTAGTGATAGCAAGGGCATAGCAATAGATTGCATCATGTGTCAAGTTGTCTCCAACTTTCCATGACATCACTTTGGATTTTCTTGGCAGAAAAACCACTGAAGTGATTACCATTCTTTCTCCAGCTCAATTTTTAGATGAGGAACTGAGGCAAATGGTGAATTGACTTGCCCAGGGTCACACAGCTAGCAAGTGTCTCAGGCTGGATTTGAACTCAGAAAGATGCTGACTCCAGGTCTGGTGCTCTGTGCACTATGGCGCCCCCTACATTATAACCCGATTACATTATAGCGGGAGGGTAACAAACCACACTGGTGATGGATATTATGGAGGACACACTGGAGTGGGGACTCAGGTGGATAGCTCTGGAGGAATCCTACTGCCTCCTCAGCAGTACTCCTAGGACTCAGAGAGGGGAGATGGAGCCAGCTTCACTCTGGGGACCCACTGGTCACTGCATGCATGGGTTACAAGTCTAGAGGCTCCCTATGTATACATTATGTATGTGTGCATCTCTATATATGCCACCTAAATGTGCAATATACAGTATAAGGGACTCATTTGAGCCCAGCAACAGCCTGTGAGTTAGGTACCATTATCATCCCCATTTTACAGATGAGAAAACCAGGGCTCCAAGAGTTTAATTGACTTGCCCATGGACACACAGCTCAGAGGCTGGATTAGAACTCAGTCCTCTCTGCCATTACCATTGCTCTTTCCACTATCCCAGACAACATTAAGGTCTGCACTGCTTAGCCAGGAGCTCAGCATTGGACTCCCATTTACTGAATCCTGGCACAGGCAGCGAATAAGATGCATTGAGGAAGGAGGACTGCCAGAAACACTCAGCTTCCCTTCTCTAGTCCAAAATCATCTCAGTGAGTCTCTGCGTTATTCGCTGGTTTATTTCTGGGATTAAAAACTGTTTTAAAGATTTTACCTATTACCGTAGTGGGCTTTTGAAGGCACAGCTCGGATCTGTCTCTCTTAGTACTCAGGGATGGGACCTGCTGTCCGGGGTCAGCTCATCCCCCATGGGACAGCTGTCAATTTGAGGTTTGTCCTGTCACCTGTTACCTCTTATCTTTAACCTCTTCCTAGGATGAGGGAAATTCTTGTGACTTAGTAAAGAGGGGCTGCCACTGGGAAAGAAACGCATTCCCCCAAGGGTCTGTGGTCCTGGAATGGAAGCATTTGCCCCTCCACACCAGCCTATCTTCTGTGTGACTCTTGCCCTGGAAGTTTGCCCCAGTGGGTCTTGGCATCCCCAGGGCTGAACTCCCTGGCTGCAAGGGTCAACCTTTGCTCTCGCCATATAACCAGCCCACCTTCCTTCTGTGATGACATTTCTTTCATTGGCTGCGCCTATACTCCAACTCTCTTGTTTGCAAGCGGAATTTATTCAGAAATAGCAGCTGAATCCAACCAAGAATTCTAAGGTCACTGAGACCAAACACCAGCAGGGGCCCCAGAGCTTCACTGTTTCAAGGATTCCAAAACACTTTCCTCACAGTTACTCTGTGAGGCCCGCGGTGAAAGACCTAGGATCACCACTTTATAGATGAGGAGACAGCGGGTCAGAGTGATTGATTACCTGGCCTGCCCAGAGTTAAAACAAGGAAGGGCCAGAGGTAGAAATGCAGACTGGGGTCTCACCTGATTACAAGTCCCGTGCTCTTTCTGCTAAACTAAACATTCAACAGAATGTTGGGTTTGGAGTCAGAGGAGCTGGGTTTCACTCCTCCTGGGCCCCTTTCTAGGTGTATGAACCTGTACAAGTCACTTCATTTACTGCCCTGGGCCTTGGTCTCTACCTCAGTGAAATGAAGGGATTGGGCTGAATGACCTTTAAGGGCCCTCTTGCCTCTAATCCTCTGATTGCCGTTTTTATTAAGTGAGGAAAGCAAGGCAGGAGAACCAGACCCCAGACACTGGTCCTAGGCCAGAGGCCACCAAAGTCATGCTTTCTGGTGGGTCACTGTCCAGAAGACCAGGTCCTGTCCTGAACCACTGGTTCTTCATACAGACACAGACAGACAGACACACACACACTGCTAACTGTATTTCTTTTTCTTTTTTTTTTTGGTGAGGCAATTGGGGTTAAGTGACTTGCCCAGAGTCACACAGATAGTGTGGCCAGATTTGAACTCATGAAGATGAGTCTTCCTGATTCCAGGGCCTGTGCTCTATCTGCTATGCTGCCTAGCCTGGTAATCTCCTGTATTTCACTGGATACATTTAAAAGTATTATTCTGAAGAGTTCTTATGTTTCACCATACAGTAGCTAAGGAGGTCTATGACACAAGAGAGAATTCCTGCCCTAAAGCATCTGTGCTTTTATAAGTATATCTTGGAAAAACCAGTGATTTGAAAAGAATAGGTTTTTATTATTTTTTTTTTGTCAGATTCTTCCAAAAGGCATTTATTCTGAACCCAATTGTACAGCCAGAATGAGTGGCTGGCTCATGACCTTCCTGGCATTAGTGAAGAAGAAGGAAACTCAGAAGATTTGAAATCAGATCCTGTCCACTCTGCTGGGCTCTGAACTTTTTGCTGTGGCCTTTCTGGGCATAGGCAAGGCAAGGTCTCTGCCAGCCAGGACAGAGGAAACAGGAACACCAGGGGCAGCTTTGTTGCAAAGCCAGGTAGGGCTTTGTACCCAGTGTGAAGTCAGCCACATAAACAACCCTCCCTCCCCAGAGAGGAGCCCCAGGAGAAATCCTCTGCTGGGGCTCCTTGGAGAAGCCAAGGAAGGGGCCCTTCTGCTCCTGCCCCTCCAGAACTCTGGGGATGGCTGAGAGGCTTTGGCCCCAGGAGAGAACCTTCCAGGTTTTTCCACTCTTTCCAGGAAATTGGACCCCTGGGGCAGTGTGTGAGAGATGCTTTCACTAATGACAATGGTCATGTCAGACTTTGAACATCTCAAAAGAAGACTCTCAATACCTAGGAAGGAAATATGGCCTGGGTTATTAGCCCTCTTCTATGGAGGAGGAAGTTGAGGCTCTAGAAGACTTTCCCAGTGTCACCTGGCTAGAAAGAGCCAGATGGAGGGTTCATCTGAAGTCTCCTGATACTGCAGTGCTTTCCAGTTCTCCAGCTAACTAGAGGGCTCTAGGGTTAGCTAAGCAAGGTTATCACCTTCGATGGTTGGGGCAACCCTCGGCCATTTGTGTGTTAACTAGGTAACTGAGGCTTTAGCCCCAGTCAAACCAAAGACTTCATTCAGTTGGAAGCTCCTTCTCTCCGAGATCCCCTTTTCTGCAGCCCCCTCTTGCCCCAGACCTTTTATTCCACCTTCCCCCACTCCAGTAACTTTCCACAGCGATGGACCCTAAACCTCTGACAGAGGCAAGGCCTCGTAGGAAGGCTTATGCTAGGCATCAGTCAGTCAGTCATTCAACAAGCATCCATAAAGCTTCTACACGGTATCCACTGTGTGCCTGGCACCGCGGCTGGGTGCTGGGGTTTCAGGGACTCAGAGAGGGGCAGCCACCACTAGCCAGGCCAAGGGGTCAGTGTCAGGTGTGACCACTCCAGCCTCCTTCATCCCTCGAAGTCAGATTAGGGCCTTAGTCAGAGGACGGGACCTTAAGGGAGAAAGGGAGCTGGTACAGAAAAGGGAAACTGTCAGAGCTGCTCTGCTACCTAGGCCTGGTTCCTGTTTTCGATCTCAGCACACACCTGGAGCCCAGGGCGGGACCTTCTCCGGAGACAAGCTCCCAGGGTGTGTGTGTGTGTGTGTGTGTGTGTGTGTGTGTGTGTGTGTGTGTGTGTGTGTGTGTGTCCGTCCGCCCCAAGAGCCCCTCATAGGAGGCCAGAGGTCGGGGCAGCAGCCAGTTATCACAGCCTTTCGCTTCTTAGATTCAGTCAGACACACACACAGACACAGACACACACAGACACAGACACACACAGACACAGACACACACACACACACACACACACACACACACACACACACACACACACACACACACACACACACACACACACACACCCTGCCCGCAGGGCGGTGGGACAGGAGGCACCCCTTGGGTGAGGGGGCGGCAATCTCTCCGGGAAGGGGCGGGGGTCAGTGGTGTGGCCCCACCCCTTCGGGCGGGGTGAAGGTGAAGAAGCGGGGCAGCCCCGCCCCTAGGCCCCCGGCGTCCTATAAACCTGGGCGCGGCAGTAGGTCCTCAGACTGTGGCTCGCTTTCTGCGCCCCAGTCAGTTTCGTCCTGTCCCATTCCCCAGTGCGGGAGCACCTCCGCCCCACCCCCGCCGTCTGCTCTCTGGGTGCTCTCCCTGTGGCTCTCAGCTGCACCTATCCCTATCGCCGCTCTCCCACTCTGTCCCCGCGGTCCCCCACCCTCCAATCATGGCCCCACAACCGCTGTACCACAAAGAATTCGCCGGGGCTGGCCTCCAGCCAGGTCTGCAAGTGTGGCGCGTCGAGAACATGGATCTGGTGCCGGTGCCCACCGAACAATACGGCAGCTTCTACGTGGGGGACGCCTATCTTGTGCTCTGCACTCGCCAGGGTCACCGCAACGACTTCACCTACCGCCTGCACTTCTGGCTCGGTAGGGATGGGAGTGGGGAAGTGAGGGAGTGGGGGAGTGGGGGTGGGGCCTCCCCGAGTGCCTGGGCAGTGGCTGCGGTGGGCAGCTAGCCGTCACTGAGACCTGGGCGTCCTCTTCCCACCGAGTTTCGCTTTGCCAACTCTGGCAGCGGTCAGGGGAGGGCGTGTGTGCCAGCGGCTGAGAGCGCCGGCTCCGTGACTGTCCTAAGCGTCCCCTCAAGTCTCCGGGAAGGGGCTGGGGTTCAGGTCCTGGAAGTGAGAGTCAGCCGCGCCTCCGAGCAAAGGTGCGGGATGAGGCAGAGTACCCTGGATCCTCCGGAGCTCCGAGAAGATGGAGGGCTGGAAGGGACCTCGTTTTTAGATGAGGAAACTGAGGCTCACAGTGGGCGAGGGTTCGGCCCAAGATCGGAGGATCGTTCGTTTAGAAGGGAATTTAGAACTCAACCCCGTCCTACTACCAAGGAGGAAACTGAGTCTCAGAAGGGTCGCAGAAACCGAAGTAGGAGAACTGCTGATGTTCGGGTCCCGGAGTAAAGGCAGCACCATTTCCTTGACCCGCACTGCTTCCCCTCTTGGCTTTTTTCGAGGCTCTGCTCGGGGGCCACCTCCTCATGCAAAGCTTTCCCTGATCCTCCTCAGGCTTTAATTCATCCCGTGTTTCCTTAGAGATTCGCCTATTTTAATCCCCTGAGTCTGCATCCTCCCCCGTCTGGCACCGGCAATAGTTTGAGGAAAGGTCATTGAATTGCACTGACTTGATGGTGCTGAGGCTTTATAGCATGGTGGCTGTGTGACCTTGGGACGATCCCTTTCTCTGGGAGCCTCCATGTCTTCATCTGCTAAGTGCAGGGGGGCGGGGGGAAGGGCTCCAATATTTGTCCGATGCCTGTTTGGGCGGTCACCAAAACCTGTCACCAGAGGGCTAGACGATATTCATTCTGAAGTCATAAAGAAGCTGGAGACCAGGGCGTCTGTCCGCAGTCCTTCATCTTCCTCGTATTGCCCTTCATGGGATGATAGAGCTAGGTGGCAGGCATCCAGCCCCTTCATTTTACCTATGAGGAACTAAATGGGGGCCTGAATTGGGACCCTTGCTGGGGATGCACCCAAAAACATTTCCTTGTCCCTAAGAGCAAAGTTTTTATTTCTAACTGACCCGGGAAGTGGACCAGCAGGTTAAAGGAAGAGAAGTAATTGGGACAAGAGGGAGGGACATAGCCTACAAAGGAGCCCTGCCCCAAAGCTGGCCTGAACCCTCGTAGCCAGACCTGCTGCAGAGAGGAGGGCTGGCTGTTGTTACAGGTTTTCTCCTTGGGACTGTGTGTCTTTCCTTGGGTTACTGTGTTCAGCCTCCAGGAGCTGGCCAGCGCAGGCAGAGCAGTACGTTTTCCCCAACTCGAGTTCTTTAGAAGGTGTGCTTGTTTATCTTCCAGCTGAGAAAACTGAGGGCTCAGAAAGTCACCTGAGCTCCCTCACCGGAGCTGCCAGGAGCCAGCGGCAGCATCTTTGGCCTCCTGTGCCCGAATTCCATGCCCTCCTCCCGAGGCGGGCTCAGATCGGGCACAAACTGATTCTTTGCTGGCCATACCAAGAGCAAAAACTCCATCTGGCCAGAGGAGGTTAGTTTTGTGATGAGAAGGAGGAGGGGAGAGGGAGAGTCTTTCTTCTAATGATTTCCATGGCAAGCCACATTCTTAGAACCTACTTTCCATTTTAATTACTCAAATGAGGCTTTTCAGAGATGCCGGGTAGTGTGTTGAAGTCTGTTCTAGATTTGGAGCCCAGGAGACCTGGGTTGGAATTCCACCTCTCCCACCTACAGCATGACTATAGGCAACTCCCTTAACTTCCCTGGGCTACAGTTTTCTCATCTGTAAAGCTGGGATAATTTTCTGATCAGTACCTAAGTCTCTACGCTTAATTAATTAAGGGGCTTTGCAAAGTCTCGGCTGCTATGCCAAGGTCTGATCTGGGTGTATTCGCCTATAATTGCTCATGAGCTTTGGGGCTTGCTTGTTTTGTACAATGTGATGTAAATACATTGGGCCACAAGCGCCCAAGAAGCCACTAGCAACTGGAGATGGCTCTGGGCAAAGAGAAGTAGCCAGTCCCTCTGGCTATGATGGTGGGTACTGGACTTAACCCTGAGTATTGGAGATGAATCGTGCCTTGGCTCCATTGTCCGAATTTACAGGGAGGCGTGCTTCAGCACAACCTATTGCGGGGTAAACGAGAACTTCCTAATAATTAGAAGTGGTATGCAAAAGTGAGTGCGCTTCTTCTGGAGGGGGTGAGCTTCCCATCACTGGGAAGGGAATCTGCAAGACTCTGGGATTGCTATGGGGGAGGGGAAGCCCTTCAGTCAGGGAAGCTGGGTTCCATTGAATCCAGCTTATGTGGGCGCTAAACAACCATTAAGATTCTAATTCTCAGACTCAGTCGTCTGGGTTCTGGAGCGCTCTCCTTATCTGCATAACAATCCGAGCCTCAGTCCAGTCTTTGTCCTAACCCTGCTTCCTGTTTGGGATGATTTTGTGTTTTCCCTTTCCCCTTGGTCCCTGCCCCCTCACCCCATCCCTTCTGTTGGCTTCATATTTTTGTCCGTGGTTTGACTTTAGGCCTCTGGGTCGTGCTGCCATAGCCTCCCCAGAATGGAACAGAAAAGTGTGAGGTGTGGGACCCTGAGGAAAGGGAAACTTTCCTGTTTACTTGGAAAGAAAGAGAAAAACCCAACCAGTTTGGGGGTGGGGAGGCTCTTCTGCTTTGCTCCATGAGTCCCTGCCTGTGCCCATCTTTATTCTCCATCACAAATTCTGAGGTGGAGGTCATCTCCTCTAAAGCTCCTGCACCCAGAAGGCTTGGGGATAGCCTGCTGGACCCGAGTTCAAATACAGCCTCAGACATTCCATAGCTGGCTTGCTCTGGGAAGGTCACTTAGTCTCAGTTTCTTCTTCAGTAAAGTGAACACAACAACAGCACGGCCTTCCCAGACTTGTGAGGATAAAATGGGAAGTTTGTAAAGCATTTTGTAAACCTTAAAATTTGATATAAATTTGAGTTGTTATAACTTATTATTATCCACTATTCATTGTTACCCTGAGAATTCAAAAAGGAGGCAAGACTCCTTCATCCACCTCTGTGGAACCCGTAATAGGCATTTAATACATAGATGGTGCTGTAGTTAGAGCGCTGGGCCTGGAGTCAGGAAGACTTGAGTTCAAATCTGGCCTCACACACTAGCTGTGTGACCCTGGACAAGCCATTTCACCCTGTTTGCCTCAGTTTCCTCATCTGTAAAATGAGCTGGAGAAGGAAATGGCAGATCTTCCAGTATGCTTGCCAAGAAAACCTCAAATGGGGTCATGAAGAATGGGACAAGCTGAACAACAACAACAAATATTTATGATTGCCAGAGGAAATCTGGGTGGGGAGAAAGGAGCCAGAGAGTTATGGACTGGATCTTGCAGAGTCCATTGTACCAGATGGAAGCCAAGACTTGTGTTCTAGGATGGGAGCTGTGCTTCCTCCTCTCTGGGCTGCTGGGTATTCCCAGGAAAGAACAGCCACTCCCTGAGGGGAAGCCCTGGCCCATGGCTGTCTCTGCATCCCAGCCCTGGGGTGGTGCCGGACAAGAGCTTAGGACAAGTTTGTGGGGTTTGGACGGAGCCCCAGTGCATAGATCTGGAGCTCACCCTGTCCGATGGCAGGGCACTCTTATTCCTGGCATTCCCTGGGCACATCTCTTCAGGAATCCTCTCTGGATAAATACACCCCACTCCTGGGGACCTTCCTTTGGGCTTCCCTATCCCCCGCTGTTGTGGACCATACTGGCCAGACTTTGCTGAAGCTGGAAGCTCCCGCTGCAGGGCTGCTCTCCTGTCGGCTGTCCCCACCTCCGGATGCCCTCCCTGCTGCCCTCTTCCTCTGGGCTTCCCTGGCTTCCCTGGAGCTTCAGCTTACATCCCACCTCCTGAAGGAAGGAGCTCCTTCCAGGTCTCCCCCGACCCTGATGTCTTGTCCTCAGCTGCTGATAATCTTCCACCTGCTCTGTGGATCTCTTCCACTTTTAACAGTGGCTATTTGCCCCTGGGATGTAAAGCTCTTGAAGGCAGGGGCTGCCTTTACTTTTTCTCTGTGTCCCCGGTACTTAGCACAGTGCCCAGTGTACCCAGCAAACACTTAATAAGTGCTGATAGGTTGATTGGTTGTCTCTTTTGAGGCTTGCACCAATCCTATGGGAAAGGTGCTATAAACAGGCTCATTTTACAGATGAAGAAACTGAGGATCAGAGAGGTTAAGCAACCTTCCCAGGAGGGCACAGCTAGCATAAGCAGCCAGAATGAATTCCCTGTTTCCCTGACCCCCAATCCAGTGTTTTCTGCTTGCTGGAATCTGTAATAGGATAGCACAAAGACCAGAAAGAGAAGCTTTGGGAGGGCCAGGACCCAGCAGTGATGATGGGGGGCAAGGGCAGACTGACCTGGCCCCTCACGCAGCAGCAGCCCAGGGTCTGAGTGTCTGGGAGTGGCAGAAAGCATGGGGGCTCTTGGCTGGTGGGCGGCGCAGTGGGCTCGGACGCCCCTCAGAGGCTGACCTGTCGCTGATCAGCGAGAGCGCCCTGGATGTGCAGAACAGGGCATTAGGGTCAGAATAGTCTGTGTCGTCCTTTAGGTTTTCAGCCACTTTTGGTTTTTATTTTGTGCTGTAGAAATTAAGGGGTTTGGTTTTTTTTTTTTAAGGAAAGAGATTTTAATAAAAGATTTGAAGTGGGGAGGGATGAGAGGAGTGGAAAGTTAATGGTGGATTCTTGGCAAAACAGAACATTAGAGAAAGGGAACCTGGGTTCAAATTCTGGCTCTGCCATTTACCACCCATGTGATCTTAGGCAAGTCTCTTGATGTCTGAGCCTCAGTTTTCTCATCTGTAAAATGGCAGCGTGTGAGGGATAGCGGTGTTGGATTGAGACATGGCAGGAACACCACCTTCCACAGGTGATGAACCCAGGGTCCTAACTCACCCTCAATGAGGCCTGTTCGGCTGGTGAGAATAAAAAGGCTGAACAAGTGAATATTTTTAAAGAAATGTGGGCTAGTTTGTCTTTTGCTTTTACATACGTAGAGAAATAATGTTGTCTTGGGAACAAAGGTTATCTTGGAGAATAAAGACATGCCTTACAGATCCTGTAAATGTCCTGACATTTAATAACTATGGCTCTCAGTTGCTTTATCTGTAAAATGGGAGGATAGACATGATAATCTCTGAGGACCGTTCCAACTCCATCCAGATCCCCCAAGTATGAGGTGATTTATTATGAGAATGCTAGGTGTTCTCTTGGCTACAAGGGCTACTGGGAGACCCTACATGTTAATGGCCATACCCCCACCCACCCACCCTGACCAGTGGATCATACCTTTGCAGTCCTAAATGGCCCTCAGAGGTCATCTGGTACAACCCCCTCTTTATGCAGACAAGGACTAGAGAAGATCATGAAATCACACAGCTAGAGTTAGCAGGGCCCTCAGAGACCATATGATTAGGTGTCTGTCTTTACAGATGAGGGCATGGAGGCCTGGAGCAGCTTGGGAGGGGGCATTTAGTGATCTTCTCGGGATCCCAGGGCTGGGATTTGAACTGTAGCTTGTCTTTTCAAGCACTCACCCAAATGTAGGAGAGCAATACCTTAAACATGGTGGAAAAAAATAACTTAGCCCTTGTCCTGATCCTCCCCATCTTCGAACAAACCTGCTAATCATCAGCATTACGGGGGCACACTGCAGTACTTTCCCATTTCACAAGCTGTCCAAAAGATCTCGAAGCTCTCCTCTAGTGTTAATATTTTCTTGAGTCTGATTAGAAGCCCTCTGTAAAAGGACCCAAGCCTGGCTGTTGGGTATATTTCCATGCACTGGCTTCCTTGGCCAGCAGAAATCCTGAGTCCATACATTAATGGCCTCCAGTCTGGATCTCATCAGATTAATGCAGCATCATTGCCTCTTGTTTTAGGGAAGGAATGCACTCAAGACGAGAGTGGAGCCGCTGCCATCTTTACCATGCAGATGGATGACTACCTCGGAGGAAAGCCAGTGCAGAGTCGGGAACTGCAAGGTTATGAGACTACTGACTTTGTCAGCTATTTCAAAGGAGGGCTGAAATACAAGGTGAGCCATCAACCCCCCAGGTGTGGCCTGATTCCCAGTCTGACCTTGGAAGAGAGGCTGGAGTCCGGAAGGGAGGTTGGTTCCCAGCAGTGATGTGCAGACACTTGTCAGCGCCTTTCAAAGGTGTAAGTGACATTTCACATTTCATGGGGTTGTTGAAACCCTCCAGCCCCAAGGAAGGCCCTGTGATGCGAAGTGAGAGGCTCAGTCTTGGCTCTTCCATCTAGTGTCTCCTTTTATTCCCAAAAGATTAGAAGAGTCGGAAAATTTGATTCTGACACCCAGTTAGCTCAAGGTTTTCTCAATCTTAAGCAGCCACAGTGGGAGCCAGGCCTCCCAGAAGGCCTTCTGATTGCCCTGGGAGCCAGGCCCCATGCCATCCCTTTGTAGTCCTTTCGGCTACTGTGCATGTGACAGCGGTCAAGGTCATCATCTCCTGGCTTATTTGCCATTATGAAGCATCAGTGGCCTTCATTTTGCCTTCCTTCCCATCCTTCCTAAATAGAGAAGGGCTTGAACAGTGTGTTGGGGTCTTGGCTTCTTGATGTAGAGAAGGAAGGAGCCTCAGAAGGTCAGGGCCAATTCTCTTCCTTAGGCACCTCACTGTGTCAGTAAGTGAAGTCCTGCTCCTGTCACATGGACCAAATGCGCCCACTAAGTCTGAGTCGCATGGGATCCTGCAAGTTGTTGGCAAGAGCAGATTGTCCTGGCCTGCTCGGCATCTGATTGAAAGGCAGGCATGAAGAGAGTCTAGCATTACTCCTTGCTGAGGTCCATGCCTTAGTCACCAGTGTGAAACTCCCCGAGAAGGCAAAACTCTACAGATAAAAGCTCTGGCAAGAGCTCAAATCAGGAATTACCAGACCCTGAGCGGTATCTGAAACCACAGCTGTACTTGATAGGAAATGCACATGTGGAGATAAGGGAGCATTGAAAATATCTAAGACTAGAAAACCATTTGCTGTCTTTCTCCCTGCCCTACCAGGTGAGCTCTGAATTTAAAACACAAAGCCTTAGCATGCCCAGGAGCCCCAGAATTACTAAACTGATACTGAATACTTGGCAGATTCTCCCAACTGTCTGAGCAGAATCTCTTCTGTGACTGAGAATCAGCCTAGTCTTAGGAACCTAGCCAGTTGCTGTAGGGAGAGGTTAGCCAAGGTGATGGGTGGTAATAAGCTGAGTGTCTTCTGGTGGAGCAAAATGAGCTGGGCAAAATCCTCCAAATGTGAGGATTTAAACACGCAGGCAGCATGCACCCTTCTACCTGGTCATCCCCAGTGGGGCAAGGGAATAAATAAAATGCCCTCTTCCTTTTTCCTCATGAGAGAAAAGATGCTTGAAAAGAAGGCTGGGGAGAGAAGGCATTTCCCTGCTGCCCTTTCATTGCTGGTGCGTGCTTCCCCACCCTGCCTTCAGGGTGACGTGTGCATCTGCTCCCTTCCTGGGACCTTAGACCTCACCTGGGTGGATGACTGAGATCCAGTCCAGCTCCCACATTTGATTGCCCGTGGCCTGGCTCAGGCTACCAGGTGAACTGCATTTGCCAAAGGATTGCTGCCAGCCTCTTGGCTCTTTGTGGTCTTTCTGTAAACACTGAATCCTTTTAAAGAGAAGAAATGAGGAGAAACAATTTCAATTTCAGAGCCAAGCAAGGGATTGGTTTGCCAAGGAGTTTCATCTCAGTCACAGTTGTATTCTTCACACTCCCTAATGCTGTTGCCGTTCTTTTATTGGGTGCCCTAAGACCTCTTGTTTTATCCAGTTGGGTGATCAGTCTTCTAAAAACATCTACAGCTTTTTATTTTTACACATGAAATTACATGTACAGTGCTTTGCAAAACTGGAAGGACTGCAGAAATGCTAGTTAGTATTATTCTTTTATAACAGTCATTTCCCAATAGACTGCCCTACCCTCACTGGACCTTGCCATGTAATAGAGATAAAACTGTCGAGCTGAATCAATCACTGAGGCAATTAGAATAGTCTCAGGGGGAGTAGTCAGATGGGAGGAGAACCATGAGAGGGCAGGGCCTTGAAAAACCAGAAAAAAAAGGACGGGAGGAAGGGAGGAAGGGAGGGAGGAAGGGAGAAAGGAAGGAAGGAGGGAGGGAGGAAGGAAGGGAGGGAGGGAGGAAGGGAGGAAGGAAGGAAGGAAGGAAGGAAGGAAGGAAGGAAGGAAGGAAGGAAGGAAGGAAGGAAGGGAGGAAGGAAGGAAGGAAGGGAGGGAGGAAGGGAGAAAGGAAGGAAGGAGGGAGGGAGGAAGGAAGGGAGGAAGGAAGGAAGGGAGGGAGGGAGGAAGGAAGGAAGGAAGGAAGGAAGGAAGGGAGGAAGGAAGGAAGGAAGGAAGGAAGGAAGGAAGGAAGGAAACAAACATTTATTGAGCATGTTCTGGGTGCCAGACATAGCACTAAGGGCTTCACAAGTACTCCGTCTTTTGCTCTTCACGCTTATCCAAGGAAGGTCAGGTACTATTCCTATCCACATTTTACAGATGAGGAAAGTGAGACAGACAAGGTAAGTGACTTGCCCAGAGTCACATAGCTAGTAAGTGTCTGAGGTTGGATTTGAACTCAGGTTCAAAGGGGAGAGTGACTTGAGGAAGAAGATAGTCAATGATGATAAAAACTAGAATTTATATAGTGGTTTGCAAAGTGCTTTGCATCTATTACTTCCCTTTTATCCCCCCAGTCACCTGCCTGTGAGGTAGATGTTATCTCCACTTTTATAGGTAAGTAAACTGAGACTGAATGAGGTTTAGTGACTTGCCCAAGCTCACACATCAGGGCTTCCTGGCTTTTAGACCAGCACTCCATCCACTGTGCCCCCTAATTGCTGTGTGGTGTCCATGCAACAGAGTTGAGTGAGGATTGAGAAATGGTGTTGAGAGAGTTGGCAATTAAGAGATCATTTGTAACACCAGGAGCCAGAATGCAATGTGTTGAGGAGTGGAAGGAGAGACTGTGAATGTAGACATTTCCTGTCCCCGGTTCTTGACTCCTCTGCCAAAAGAATGAAGATGTCATCATCATCTGTTCTCTTGGGTCAATTAATAAATGTTCAGCAGCCTTTTTGGACTGTTCTGTTTACATTATTGAAGTCATTATGCATATCATTCTCCTGGTTCTGCTTTCTTCCCTAGGCATCAGGGCATACAAGTCTTCCCAGGATTTTTGGAATTTCTCATTGTTGTCATTACTTACAGTTCACGAAGTCCATTTGTATTCATGTACCCTAATTTGTTCAACAGTCGCTCATTTGTTAAAGCCCCCCTTTTGTTTCCAGTTCTTTGCCACCATACTGGGGATTGCAATGCACGGTTTGTCACTCTGGGGACCTTACTTTTGGGCTTGGTCTTCCTTGTGGTATAGAACCTTCAGTGAGATCTTGGGTCAAAGGCCATGGGTGATGAGTGTCTTTATTTCTCACACCCTAGTCTTAATGACATGTGTTTCTTCCATGAGCTCTTAGTGTTCTTTGTGCCGCCATGTTGGTAAGGAGAAGTCTCATGGCACCTCTCCTTTTCTGCTTAGGTTGGAGGCGTGGCATCTGGATTCAATCACGTCATCACGAATGATCTGACTGCTGAGAGACTGTTGCATATAAAGGGCCGCCGGATGGTCCGCGCAACAGAGGTCCCCTTCAGCTGGGCCAGCTTCAACAAGGGAGACTGCTTCATTATTGATCTTGGACCGGTAAGTTTGTCACTATGGGGGACTGAAAAAATATACTGCACATCTATCCCCTGAGGGCCAGATCTGCTGAGTTTGAAGGGCCATCCTTACATTGGTCATAGAGTGATGATCTTTGGGCTCAGCAACAAAGAAAGCTTCCTAACTGGTAAAGGATTATGTGATCTGCATGGGGTGGGGAGAGGACTGGGAGAGCCCCCACCCACAAAATCACCAGACCCTGAAAGAGAAAAGGAAAAAAAAATCAGCTAGGGGTGGAATTATTCCATTAATGTGGCACTGATCAGGTCCCCTACAGCCTGACATTGTGCCAAGGCTTCTGTGAGGGGATGTAAATATGGCTTAGGTGAAGAAGAATGGGAGAATTAGCGAAGAATGCCAATTGTCGCCTCAAAGGTTCTCAATGAATGGTTTAAATTTTTTTTGGTTGCTCCTGCCAGATGGTCATAATTAAGTAACATTCCCAAATAATTTCTTTATTGAAATGTCTTCTTCTACTTTATTCATTGAAGTAAGTCTTGAAAGCCAGGACTAATGGTTTCCACTTTCTGTCTTTTCTTTTCCTGAGTTTGGGTGAAAACAGACCTTGAGCACAAGTAGTTGCCCAAGCTCTGAGGGCTCCCTGGAGGTGCCATTTGCCTAGATATAGAGCATCAGGTTCAGGGATTCCCTCATTTATATCTAAGAATGCTAGATTTGGAATCTGAGCCTCTGGGTATAATTACTAGCTGTGCGTTGGGTGTGCTCCATTACCTTGGGCAAATCACATTCCTTATGTGTGGAATGAGGCCAGATAACCTCTGAGATCTCTTCTGTCCTCTACAGCTGTCCCCACAGCCTAACTCTGGTTGTCATGGGGATTGCATTGGCTGTTGGCAGAGAGGGGCATGGTGCCTAAGGCACTCCAGGAGCATTCAGTGATTGAGATAATAGTGTTGAGAGAGATCATCCAATCATAATTATCTGGAGTAAAAAAAAAAGGGGGGCAGGGAAACTGCCATATTAGGGAAGGAGAAGGAATGTAATACTTGGAGCCGGAGATGTGAGTTTGAATCTGAACTTTGACTTAAACTCCTTTAGTGATGTTTAGAGTGTGTAAGCCTCAGTTTTTCATCTATAAAATGGGAGATGGTAATATTTTTAAAAATTTATTTATTTTTAAAAAATTATTTATTTTTAGTTTTCAGCATTCACTTCCACAAGATTTTGAGTTCCAAGTTTTCTCCCATCTTGCCCCTCCCCCACCCCAAGATGGCATGCATTATGAAAACCCCTTCTCCTAATCTTCCCTCCCTTCTGTCTCTCCCTCCCTTCTCTTATCCCCTTCTCCTTCAATTTTCCTGTAGGATAGGATAGATTTGTATACTCAATTTACTGTATATCTTATTTCCCAGTTACATATGAAAACACTTTTTTTAAAAAATTTTTGTTTTTAAAACATTGGGTTCCAAATTTTCTCCTTTCCTCCCCATCCACCCTCATTGAGAAGGCAAGCAACTTGATACAGGTTATGCATGTGTAGTCATGTAAAACACTTCCATAGTAGTCATGTTGTGGAAAACTAAGTATATTTCCCTTCATCCTATCCTACCCCCCCCCCCATTTATTCTATTCTCTCTTTTGACCCCGTCCCTTCTCGGAGGTGTTGCTTTTGATCACCCCCTTCCCCAATCTGTCCTCCCCTCTATCATCTCCCTGCTCTCTTGTCCCCTTCCCCCTGTATTTTCCTGTAGGGTAAGATAGATTTCCATACGCAGTTGAGAGTATATGTTATTCCCTCCTTAAGCCAAATCCAATGAGAATAAGATTCAGTCATTCCCAGAGATAATAATCTTGTCATTGCCCCTGACAAAGGAAAAGTACCCAGAAAGCTCTCTGAAAGTCTTAAACGTATTAATGTGCACTCTTTATTATTATCATTGTTATTGATGTTATATTATAGACAGCAGCCTCAGCCCTTTGGTGTCTCAGTGGGTTTCGTGGCTTCACGGGTTGCTTATGGGGTAATTAATTGGCACAAATGGCTTTTTAGCCTCCAGTGAATTACTTTGGCCCATGGTTGAAATTCTCTGGAATAATTAATTGCCCAATCTTAAAGTCATAGAATTTGAAAGCTGGAAAGGCACTTGGAGATCTAGTCCAGTCGGTGCCCTAAGCTGACAGCCTAGAGAGGTTAACAGGGGTCACATCTACAAAATAAGCCATTAAAGTAAACATGACCAAGGTGATAGTGTCAGACAAACTTAATAATTAGAATTGTCTAGAGCCCACAAGTGGTGAGTGGCCTGTCACTGGAGATACTCAACTCGGGGCTGAATGTTCAGTTGTTGGAGGTGTTGTAGAAAGGATTATTAGTTGGGTACTGGCTGGGTAAGATGAGTCAGAAGATGACTTTAACCAAAATCGTTGCCTCTTATTTAATGGGATGATGGGTGTGACCCAAGGATGGGGAATGGAGGCAATTCTACCCCAGATAATTTCACTGTAAGCCCCTGAAGACCCTCAGAGATTCTTGACCTTTCCCCGAATCAAGCTGGAAAACCAAAGGCCCCCTTCCATCATTTGAGGATCTCGTATAACTGTTCTTTGTAAGATGAGATATATTTTTACATCCTTTGCACACAAAGTTCAGAGATCTTAAAAAATGAGGCCCCCAAACACACAGAAAATGGAGTATCAAGGATTTCTGTGTTGTCTCCATTATCTCAGCCCCTTTGATTCCTCCTCAGTATGTGAAAGATCTGAGACCAGCTGCCTGATAGGACTGGATGGCAGTGTGATCTCTGTATCTCATCAAAGCTCAATGCTATCCGACAATCTCTTGCCATCAGCTTTCCTGGCCAGGGGGAAAGGACCTCACTGCCACCAGGCCAGTAGGGCCAGTTCCCATCTTGAAAAGACAGGGCGGCACCTCATCACCCATTGGGCTGGGGTAGAAGCGCCACCTCGCCACCCTCTCCCCCCTGAATACACACACACACACACACACACACACACACACACACACACACACACACACACACACACCTCTGAAGGCTGGGAGGCAACATTCGGTTTTTGGCTTGGTCCTAGGGTCAATATTTGGCCAAGATCATTTGTTTGCTTTCCAATCAGCACCATTTATTCATTCATTCACTCACTCACTAAATATTAACTGGACAAATGCTGTGAGTCTGTGTGGGAGGAGATGGGGTGCCTTTATCAGCAGCTGCCAGTGCTTCCTACAGGCCCCAGTGCTCAGAGGTCTCTTGATGTATAGCTCTTAGTGTCAGAGCTGGGATTTGAACCCAGGACTTCTCCTGATGACACATCCGGCATTTGTTCCATTGTACCACACTCTATTCTCACAGAGCATAGGCTGATCTAGGAGGGAACTCTACTAAATTCATTGACATTCAAGATCTAGAACTTCTGTGAATGTTGACACCAGAATTCAGACCCCGGTCTTGCCTGACTCCCAGTCAGTTCTATCATTATGGCCTGCTGATTTTCAAAATTAACATGATTTTTGAACTGGCTAAGACCAGTGGTCTCCCTTCTGTGATAGAGATGCTAATTTTCTGCAGAGCTAATCAAATCCCACTGAGGATGTAGAGGATTTCTCATGTTTTTAGCCCTTTTACTGCTCAGAAGAGCTCAGAACAAGGTCCAGCCAGTGTTAAGAAGCAGACCAACATTAATTGTTGGCCAAAGTACAGAAATGGACAGACCATTAAACCCATCAGCCATTTTAGGTCTGCTGACCAATACAGAAAACTGTCCATGAGGCACAGTAGACAGGGAAGGGCAGCATATGTGGACTCAGAAGACCTGTATGTGAATCCTGGCTTGGACCCTTACTAACCAGGTAATGGAAGCATATGGTTTTTCCTCTCTGAGCCTGAGGCTTCTCATTGATGAAATGAGTGTGTTAAGACCTGAGCTCCTGTTTGTAAAGACTTACTTCACAAGATCATGAGGCTACTCATATCCAAGAACCGCATAGTAACTGTTAACTCTAGTAATAATATTTCAATTTACACATATTATGTACCAGGCACTATCTAAGGGATCAGAGATAAGAAGACAACAACAACAACAACAACAAAAACGGTCTCTGACCTCAAACAGCTTATATTCTTGGTGGGGGAGGGCGGACAGGTGGAGTAACAACACACGGTTAGAAAATTAAATGCCAAAGAGACAAAGTTATTTCTGAGAGATGAGCATTGCAACTGGGGAGGGCCAGGGAGGGATGAACTTTCCGGAGCTGATTGTACTGCAGCCTGAGCTTTGAAGGGAAGTAAGAATTCTGTAAGGCGGAGGTGAGAAAAACGGTACTTTCCAGGCCTGGTGAGAGCCTGTGCCAACATCCGGAGATGGGATGTGGGTATCATAAATGGGACAGCAGGCAAGCTAGTTCAGCCATAAGGAGAGTGTCATGTGATCAATCAGGAAAAGTAGCTTGAAGTCAGCTTAAATGCAATAGGGAGCCAGGGGGTCTTCTTGAGCTGGGCAGTGACACAATCAGACCTGTCCTATAGGAACGTCACTTTGGCATCAGTGTGGAAGGTAACTGGAGAGGGGAGAAAAGAGGTGAGGAAGCAAATGAGGAGGTGAGAAGTGAAGGTCTGAGCAAGGTGGGGGTGAGTAAGTGTGAGATCTGTCAGGCCTGGGCTCCAGGCTGCTCGGGGAAACCCCGAGGCTGGCCGCAGGGCCTGCAGGGTCTGGGGCTGGAATGGCCCCATCCACTCACCTTCCCCGAACCTCTAGATGTGGTTGGGATTGGGGGAGGGATTCCATAGCTCCCAGGGGCTCCAAGAACAGGCAAAACTGATGGTCCCAATGAGTTTCAGGAGGTCAAGAGTTTCTAGTTGCCATTTCTCTCTCCTCCCCAGCCCTTGGCAGACGGCAAATAGTGATGAGCACTAAGGAGGGAGGCTTTGGGGCTCTCAGCCACTTTGACAGAAAAAAGAGCCACTAACTTAGTGGCTCTCACTGACCTCAAACAGAAGGGAGGGACG